AAAAAATCTTAACTAGTCATTTATGGTATTTCATATAATGTTCATGTTATAATGTTCATATCATTATTTTTGACTGTTTTAAATATTAATTCTCAGTGTTGGTTCAATATAATTTTATAAATTTATTTTGCATACATATATTCATTAAATAAAATTGATATTAAAACTGAAATGCTTATTGTTTGGCATTTCCTATATACTGTATATTACTTACTATTTTTTTCTAAAGTGTTGTTATGGTATTCTTTTTGGCTGTTTTAAATATATTAAATGCTTAAAATATGTTTTGTTTTGTATACATATATTCATAAATGAGTTCCATTCTCTTCCATATATTAAGAAAACATGTAATATCCAAGTCTCAGATAAATAAATACATTTATTTAGCTTTATTTGTGTTGCAGTGCTTCATGTGCAACCTCTAAACATATTTCTGCACAATTAAATTTTTCTTTTAATTAAATTAACTGTTGTTTATATGAATATTAACATAAAACATGCACGTTGGTTAAAATGCAAACATTTTAAATTATAAAATTATGCATACAAAAAAAGAAAGAAAAAGCGACAACAAAAATAAATAAATAATTTTTACAACAATATAAAAATAAGAATAAGGGTACAATAGGGTATAGAGTGCACAAAACATCTTTATAGGTTTCTTATTCTTATTCTTAAGAGTCTCTAATAAGCCTACGGCCCAACTTCAGGGTTTAATATTAGCAAACTGCATTTATTAATCTATCGGTTGGTCAAAAATGTACGTAAATGGATTAAACAGAAACACTTCCCACATTTGAAACTCTTCCTTTTTTATTGCAAGACAAAAAAAGAACAACAAAAAACAACACTGCATTGAAATACAGTAACATAAAGAAAGGAAAGTGAGGAAGAAGAAAAAAAACAATGACACCTCAATCAGTAAGACAAATATCATCATAAGCCTAAAGAAACGTGTTATTCTTATGGTTATCAAGTTTAAGAGATTTAACAATAAGCAAAATGTCAGCAAGAAAGACATCAAATCTAGGTAACATCTTGAGAAATTTGTTTTTGTGGATAAAAAATGTACAGTGCAACACACACACACACACACCAGCCTGGTCTCATGTTTATACGTAGGTATAAATACGTATGTAAACATTACATGACAAGTAAAGGTTAAACGATTGCAGAAATGTTATTTATTTTAAGGTTTAAAGTGAAGTCGTGTTTAACATTATGTAGGCATATTCTTGAAAACGAGCTGGCAGCAGAAATCACAACAAAACGAAATGTTATAATTTCATAAGTAAACAATTTAATAAAGCAATTGAAAACAAGTTAATTAATGTGACAACTAAAAACTAATAAAATTAATGCCGCGATTTCAATATTCATAAGGATTTATTTTTAGGTGTCGTCAATACGTCAGTTTTGTACGTTTAAATGCTGAAAATACGTCAGTATTGTACATTTTAGTGCCTGTAAAAACGTAAGTAAATGTACGTTTTATAGAACCACATTTTACGTAAAATACATACGAATTATCATGAGATCACGTTGCACACACACACACACAAATATATATATATGTATATATATTAACAACATAACAATTATATATATATATATATATATATAATTTAAAATGTAATATCACATTTTAAAAGAAGATAAATAACAACTTAAGTTCTCACAAAGACATTTAACCTGATTGCAATGATACAATAAATGAAGTAAAGTTTCTTCCTCAACTTTTCAGAATACACATAAGCTAGAGAGATAAAAAAAAAGATAAACATTATGCAAAATCTTAAAATGTAGCCTACCTCTCTTATTTTATTTAAAAAATGCAAATTTTGACCATGCTTTCTTCCGTTGAATACTATCAAAAATACTGGTGCAGGAAAGTGTGCATCTAGGGGATGTAGGCTATACACGGAATAATGTAACAAGCGCTTTATACATCTACTGTTACTATTCCCCTTTGATCTTCCGTTTGTCAGAGGTGCGGCGAGTGACGTCACAAAGCACTGCGCGCAGCCAATGAGAGCGAACGTGGATGGAGGAGGAAACGCGTTTAATGAGGTCATCTCTCTCTCTTTCACACACACACACACACACACACACACACACACTCTCACACACACACACGCACGTCACAGAGCCGGAGAAACGAGTTTAAGCGGAACACTACAGACAAACTATTCCATTCTTCATTCTTCATTTACAGTTCTTCAATGTTTCCTGATTCATCTGCAGGGTGAGTTTAAAACACTTCACTAAAGGGGTTTTATTACACTCTAATCGTGACGTGGATCATTTTAGCTTCGTGTTGCATATGGCACATTATGTCTAGCGCGCGCATGTGGCCAATATTGCGTCAGAAATCATATAATAAGCGCGCTGTATCATCTTTAAAATGATCTTTCTGCGCAGTCATTTCTCTGAGTTTAACAGTTAAAGGTAAACGAATAGATAGTGATGGAACCTGTTAAACGGGTTTGACGCACTTATAATATTTCATCCATGTGACACATTATTATGATGATATTTTACATCAACAAAGCTCATATAAGCACCTTAACAGAGAAGAGTGAAAAGTGAAGTAATAAGGTGTAGGCGATAAAGTTATGAACAAGCATCTAACGGTTTAAAAAGCAATGTAACTATACTTGTTTCAGAACATCCAGAGAACTTTCAAAAGTAGCATTCTCAAGATGTTTGCAGACTGATACAGTGGAACGTTCCGATATCATTCGTGTAACAATACAACAGGTTTCTAAACATTGTGAACATTCAGAGAAACTTAATGCTTCTAGAACACACTTTCCACTCAGTAACCCGGCAAACATAGACCTTTAATATCTGCTTCCCTTTTGCTTTCTTGGGGAACCAAATGATAACGTTCTAGCAACCTTCTTTTATGTTTTTTATCCATAAAATAAGGTTTTCAAAACGTTCTGATAGTGCTGGGCGGTATATCCAAACATGTATATCACGGTATTTTTCTCAATTATACCGGTTTCACGGTACATGACGGTATTTTGTTTTCATGCATGAGCGGGTGTTAACCATATCTTCTTCTGATTGAGAGGAAATACTGCAGTGTATTGACTTAGAATGCACTATTTTACTGTCATGATGAGTGCATATTGTCAAAAAATACCACACTACATAGTGACTAAACACGACCCCTTTTAATACATGTTAACCAGGAGTCTCTCTCATTTATAATCACAGCATCGTCTGATAAACTCAGCATGCATCTACACTAAAGAGCGGCTAGGTTTGTCAGTATGAGTATTCTCTGGAAGAAAGCCACTAAAAGGGTCTGAAAGTAGCTAAATCTAGTGCTAAAGTCGCGCTCGTGTGTGAGACGCGGGAGCTGATGACAGCGGGCGCTGGATATTTGTGGAGGTCAGTGTGGATATTGTGGATGAGTTCTTCTGTGTCATCACGTTCTATTAGTTCTACAGCTTCAGTTTCGGAGCTTTCACGCTTAGTAACACATACAGCTGTGCCCTCACCACAGTGCAACAGTGAAAAGAGACCCGTTTCTGAACGTTGTTTAAGCGACATACACCGGTATTATGGTATTTTAAAAATTCATATCATAACAAAAATAAACACCGGTATTCGGTATGAACCGGTATATACAGCACTACGTTCTGAGAACCAAGAGTGGTTATCTGGGAAGTGAGTTATATCAGAGGCTGGTTCAGGGGAGTTTTCAGTGTGAATCATTAGCAGAATTGCTCAGAGGGCTCATTTGCATAATCAGACTTGTCCAGCCATTATTTTGTGTAACCAGTGTTTTTATTTGATCACATTGAGCTCAGATGATTTGTTATGGAAACATCACATGGGAAAGAAGGCAGACAGAACGACTCCAACAAAGGCAGTGATAGGCTGATTTAAAAACATTGCTATTTATGTTTGAGCGTACAACATTATTTAGTGAAGCTTAAGCTAAAAAAAAAAAATTTGGCAGTGGGTTAAAAAAATTCTTTACTTTATCCAGAATAATGTTATTTTGGTACCAATGTGACGTCATTATAGTCTATATATATATAAAACAATTTTTTTTTATTATTCATATTTTATTTTAGTTAAAGTGTCTGTTATTTTTTTAGATGTCTATATAGTAATTTTTATTTCAGTTTTTTTGTTATTTTAGTTAGACTAACTGACAATGAGAAATGTTTGCTTTGGCAACTAGTTGAAATGAATAAAGTTGACCTTTTTATATTTTATTTCAGTTAATGTTTATTTTATTTCAAGCAGTGTTAATTTCATTGACAAATAATTTTCGTCAACAAATTTTTTTTCACAGACGACAACGAGACGATACCGAAATAAAACTCTTTTTGACAAAAACGATGACGTAAATCTATTGACATTTTCGTCAACGAATAAAAACGAGATGAAAATGTTAGGGAGGGATGATTTGGGAAGAGATTAGGGATGGGGCGATACCTCTTATTTTGCTTTCGATACGATACCGATATTTTTCAAGGCAGTATCGTCGATATCGATACCGATTCGATACTTCTGAACTAAACTTTTAAATTATGAAATTTATGAAATTATTAAATTACTAAGAGTAAATGGGTAATGATAAGCACTTAACTTTATGTTTAAAATGCATATTTTTGTTTACACATGATTCAAATCTACAAATACTACAGTTGAACTACGGTCATTTTAGTAAAACCATGGTTCATTTTCATTAGGGACTGCCAGTGAATGGCTGTTGCACTATCCTACACCATTACTTGCTAACAAAGGTTATTCGTCCAGTGCAATGCATATTGTACGCATTTTTTTTTTGTTTTGTTGAAATAACAAAATCAATGGTAAATAAAACACCTTAGTATCGATATTTTTTGTTCATATATATATAACCATTGGTACTTCATTAATAAGAAGACCATGTTCTTGTTCTTTATGAGAAGTGGTTTTGGACATTTTAGAGAAATGCTTAATAAATGCATGACACTGTAACTAAACCCATTAGATTTCAGCCGACTAAATTTACTGTAGATTTAGTCAACTAAAAGTCGACAGATGACTAAAATATGACTAAAACTAAATCAAAATTTGCTGTCAAAATTAACACTAATTTCAAGTAACAGAAATGTTTTTTTATGCCTTATTGTCTTATATATTTTGTTGTTTTGTCATTGAATTTTATGAGTGTATTTCTCATTATTAATCTTTTTTTAATATGTGTATATAGTAGTTTTTATTTAAATTTTTAAGCTATTTTAGTTAAATTAAATGAAAATGAGAAATGCTGCTTTGGCAACTGGTTGAAATTAAAATAAGTTAATTTTCATTTCAGTTAATGTTTATTTTATTTCAATCAAATATTTCAATGTTTTTTTTATGTCTTTAGTTTTAGTTAATTATAATAACCCTGATCTTACACATTTTGCTTCTCAAGTAAATCTAATGATAGAAAATTAAAGTTAATTTCAGTTAAGATTTTAGTTTTTTTGTTTGTATCTGTTATTTTTATTTTTATATTTTTTAAATATATCAACATAATTTTTATTTAATTAAGCTAAATGAAAATGAAAAATGTTGATTTGGCAACTAGTTGAAATAAAACAAGTTTAAGGTTTTTTAAAATAATTTATTTCAGTTAATATTTATTTTATTTCAAGTAACCGAAATGTTTTTTTTAGTGTTATTTGTTTTAATTAATTATTACAACCCTGATCCAGAAGAATTATTTTCCACATTTTGCTTCTAATGATACTGAATGAGAGTAAATGCACACTTGTTTGACTGAAAGCCTGAGGACCGTCTCTCTGCTCTCCCTCAGGTACAGTTATGAGGAGTGTAAGGCCACAGCTGATTGGCTGCTGGCTCAGGCTCCAGTGCGCCCCCTGCTGGGGATCGTGTGCGGCTCCGGTCTCGGAGGACTGGCAGAAATGCTGAAAGATCAGCTGGTCATCGACTACAGCGACATCCCCAGCTTCCCTCGGAGCACCGGTGAGTTCAGACCATGTGCTGCGACGGCTGATTGTGCTGTACTCGTCTCCAGACTGACTCCTAACTGTGTTTTCTGTAGTTCACGGGCACGCTGGAAGGCTGGTGTTCGGCAAGCTTAAAGGAACGCCGTGTGTTTGCATGCAGGGCAGGTTTCATCTGTATGAAGGATACCCCATTCAGAAGGTGATTAACACACTAACAGTTCATCTCAAATAGACTTGGCTAACTAAATGTGTTCTAACGCTCTGCATGCGGTCCCATTAAGTTATGAAAATGATTGTTCTCTGAAACATCTAGTTTTTTAAAATGTTTTTTCTTGGTGATGCATGTTTTTTAAGCATCATTGCCATATAGCTTTTATTAATGTTTAGATTTTTTTTATTTTTTACATTTTCTGTTTATTAGAATTTTAGTTCATGTTTTAGTAATTTAGTACATTTTTGTTTTTATTAGTTATTTTTATTTATTTAAATTTTAATTAAAAATATATATTTGTCTATATAGACTATATAGTAAAAGAAAATGAGAAATGTTGCCTTGGCAACTAGCTGAATTAAAATATGTTCATGTTTGTTAAATCATACTTTTTAAATTTTAGTTTTACTCATTTAAAAAAACAAACATGTCTATATAATTGCCTGTCATTTTTATTTCAGGTTTAGTTTTAGTTGTTTCACGCTGAACTACATCAAACTAGAAATACAGCCATGGCAACTAGCTGAAATGAAATAAGTTTATGTTTTTCATTTTTCATTTTATTTCAGTTAGTTTTTTATTTTAAGCTACAAAACGTTTTTATGGTTTTCGATGTAGTTTTAGTTCATTATAATAGCCTTGATGCAAGCGTCATAGAACACATAAATGGAATGTTACGTTGTATCAGTTTGCAAACATTCTAGGAATGTTACTTTTGAACATTCTTTAAAGTTCTGAAAAAGTAGTAACGTTTAAATATGTTAGATAAAACCTTCCATGAACGATGTATAAACGATATGTTTGAGAACGTTATTAAAGACCAGAGAGCTTTACACAAATATTTCCTGGAAGAGCGTTTGTTCCTGTTGCTCTTTCATTAACTCCTGCGCTGTGTCGCGGCTCCTGTATTATCAGTGTTTGCTGAATGTAAATATCAGCGGCGTTTTTACAGTCTCTTTATTAATACAAAGCAAACTTTACACGTGTGAAATGTTCACAGAGTTACACAATCATCTCCAGCTCCTCTGAGAACAATGTCAGAGTGCAAGAACTCCTAATTATCCTGCAGATGTTAGTTTGTGCATGACATATTTCTGTTGATTTTGAGGTGAAACGTGACGTTGTGATGATGCTGTGATGATCTGGTTTCGGCAGACCACCATGCCGATGCGTGTGTTTAAGCTGATGGGAGTGGAGACGGTCATCCTGACCAACGCCGCCGGCGGACTCAACCCGGACTTCACAGTGGGAGACATCATGGTCATCAAAGACCACATCAATATTCCCGGATTCGCTGGAAACAACCCGCTAGTGGGAGCCAACGACGAGAGGTGAGGCTCTGAATCTGATTCAGTAACAGCAGAGACGCCTTTGATTAGGAGCAGTGCTGTTATTGTTAACTAAAAACGGTACTAGTTATTGAAATGAAGCTGAAATAACATGTAAATATTAGATGAAAGACCAAAACTTAAAAACGGAACCAAAAACGTAATATTGCCCTAGCAACCAATTCAAACGAAAGACTAAATTGACTAAAAATGACTATTTTTAAATAATAATCATAATAATAAAGAAGACAAAATCACATAGCAAAATTACTAAAATTAAAACTGAAATAAAAATGAATTAAACTTATAAAAAAAGCATGTAACAAAATCATTCAAATCAAAACTGAAATAAAGAATAATTAAAGCTATATAGAATAATTAAAGTAATACATTTACAAAAGCACATACGGTACAAAATTACTGAAATTAAATGTAATTTAAGTTATATAGAGTCTTTCAAAAAAAAAAATGAACTGGTAAAAGCACAACATTTCTAAAATTAAAACTGAAATAAAAATAAATGACAAAAACGCACATGACAAAATGACTAAAACATGACTGGGAGCAGTGTAAACTAATAATTGTTAGCTAAAACTATTAAAAATCATTTTCAGTAATTGGAAAAAAAAAAAAGCTACTAATAAAATAAAAAAAATATTAGATGAAAGACTGGAACTTCAAAAAAAACATAAATGGAAATTGAAATAAAATTAAAGTAGTAAAAATATATTTTTAAAAACACTAATAAACATAACAAAAGCAGTAGACTGAAACCCAAACTAAAACTAAAATGTATAAATATTGAATGTATATGAAACTCACTGACTGAGAGAAACCGTCCGCTGCAGTTTGACCTGAATGAGGATGTTTGGTAACGTTTCCGGCTCTTGGCTGAAAAAAGTATTTTCTTTTGAAATGCTGAGGTGCCCGACAGAGTTTCTGTCGTTTAATCAAACCAGACTTCAAGTCAAGTCAGTCTAAGAAGTCAAGAAACACACAAAGGCCCGTGTGACTACACACCCTTACGTTTGTGAGTTAGGAAACAAAGGAAAAACCTTACACAATAAATCACCTTTTGCAGTTTTCAGATCTGTGTATTCAAGGTTCAGAGTTCATCAATCAGACCAAACATAATAAATGCACAGAAACGGAGAGCAAGCAGTTCATTAGAACATGGTGTGATTCCAGGTCAGTGGGTCTCACCCCTCTCCGTGAAGAGCCCCCAGCACTCTCCCTGTATCTGACACACCCTCTTCAGGTCCTGCAGTCTCCAGTAATGAGCTGATGAGGTGACTCGGGTGTGATAGATGAGGGAGACACACACAGTGTGCAGGGCTGGGGGTTCTTCATGGAGAGGGTTGAGAACCACTGAGGTGTTCTGCGCAGGTTCGGCGAGCGCTTTCCGTGTATGTCGGATGCGTATGACCGTGATCTGCAGCAGCTGGCTCATGCGGTCGCAGCGGAGCTGGATTACTCTGCGTTCATGCAGGACGGCGTGTACAGCGCCTTGGCCGGCCCGTCCTTCGAGACCGTCGCCGAATGCAAAATGCTGCGCCTCCTCGGAGCCGACGCCGTGGGTGAGTTCAAATACTGTGTATTCTTTCTTTTTTTATTTCTTTTTCATTATTATTGAGTGGACTTCATTTGAAGAGTGTTGTTTTGCAAAAACAGATAACTACATTTTTTTTAAATTGTCAAAAATCATGTTTTTTATTATGTTATCATGTTTTTATTGTGTTAGTTTTTAGTTAGATGAGGGAGACACACACAGTGTGCAGGGCTGGGGGTTCTTCATGGAGAGGGTTGAGAACCACTGAGGTGTTCTGCGCAGGTTCGGCGAGCGCTTTCCGTGTATGTCAGATGCGTATGACCGTGATCTGCAGCAGCTGGCTCATGCGGTCGCAGCGGAGCTGGATTACTCTGCGTTCATGCAGGACGGCGTGTACAGCGCCTTGGCCGGCCCGTCCTTCGAGACCGTCGCCGAATGCAAAATGCTGCGCCTCCTCGGAGCCGACGCCGTGGGTGAGTTCAAATACTGTGTATTCTTTCTTTTTTTATTTCTTTTTCATTATTATTGAGTGGACTTCATTTGAAGAGTGTTGTTTTGCAAAAACAGATAACTACATTTTTTTTAAATTTTCAAAAATCATGTTTTTATTGTGTTAGTTAGCTGTATTTTTTTAGTTTTTTTTAACTTAATCAAAATAATCCATCTGCAGTTTGATTGAGAATAATTGGTATGCAGAATGTTATCTGTTTTTGCAAATTAACTCTTATTATGTTTCAGTGGGAAATTTGTAATTGTTCTGAATTTTTTGTTGATCCTTTGGATAGTATAACTTTAATTTAATAAAATGTAATAAAAATAGAATATAAAAAAATTATTGATAATTAATGTAAACATACTTTTTGTATATTATATATAATTAATATATTATTCTCATTTTAACTTTTAGTATATATTTACAGTTGGGAAATTATTAGGCACAGAAGTAATTGTTCTGTATTTTCTACTGATCTTTGGATAGTGCAACAAAATTGAATAAAAATAGAATTAAAAAATAATTAATAATAGTATATAATTTTTATGTATATGTAGCAAATCAGCTCATGGAAAATATGAATAATTAACCATAACTAGTTATAATTAACTATTCATATTTTAGATCCACTGTAGATATTTAGCTGACCACTCAGGGTCAACCGTCTTGTCAATTCTAAGAACGTTAATTTCCTGGTTAAAGGAAATAACCTTCTTACTGCACAATTCTATAAGTTTGTAACGTAAATCTGCATGATTATTGACTCCGGTTATGAGTAAACAATGAACACGTCAAGTGTGATACAAGTAAGGTTTTATTAACTACATAAAAACTTAAACTAGTCTAACATACTACATAAACACATAAAGCCGGTCTAACATACACATACAAACTGAGGTTACAGAGTATTTGTCATATAAAAAGAGAATATATAGTGTGTTGGATTGGTCCAGACGCTACATATAATATAATTCTTATATAATTGTATTAATATTAGTATTTGAATTTTATATGTTCAGGTGGGGAACTTATATTTATGGTGATTGTTTGGACAGTATAACAAAATTGAATAAAAATAGAGTTGATAAAAATTATTTATTAATATATATATATATATAATTGTATTATTATTTTAACTTTATTATATACGTTCAGGACGGAAAGTTGTAATTGTTCTGTATTTTGTGTTGATGCTTTGGATAATGTAGCGTAATAAAAAAAAAAGTGTATTAAAAAAAAGAAGTGTGCAGGGTCAGTTGTGATGTTGATTTGAGCTTATTTTGAATCCAAATCATTTCTTTGAGTGACAGAGATGGAGGGAGAAAATGTTTGAAATAGCATGACAGACAGAAGCAGTATGATGTATGAAACTGAACGGAAAGCGTTCTGTGTGTGTGTGTGTGTCTGTGTGTGTGTGTGTGTGTGTGTGTGTGTGT